TTCTTGGCAATTGGACTTTGGGCTGGACTTGGGCGTCCTTGAGCGCTTGGGGCTTGGGCCCAATCACTATATATCTTTTTGCTGCAAATTTATTAGCAACTTTAGGCCCAAATGAAAAATCCAATTTGATTTGGACTCAGTTTTGACCCAACCCGAGTTAAACCTCTCCAGGTACAATGAACCTGGACATGTGACCTTTCATGTGGAAAGTGACTGTTCAGGCGGATGTTAATGGCTGGTTAATGGCCTTAACACCTGGTTAATGGTGTAGTAACACCTGGTTAATGGTGTTGTAACACCTGAATGATTTTATTGCCCATTATCTCTGCCTTAAGTGGCAGATGTGACTTCTGGCTTCCCTCAAGATGTGGAAGTCCTATAAATAGGACTTAGAGGTGCAGAGAACATATAACATTTCATGCAATCTGATACTCTCAAAGCCTCACGCATCATATCATAGTTCTCGGTTCTCGACTTCATTCTTGTTCGACTGGACTCTGAAGGCTGGTGTGCTACAGCTTCCGAGTGTTAAAGCCGTTGTATCTTTGGGGACATTACGCACTGACCCGTCAGCACTACACGGGGCGTATTTGTCTTGCGAATAGATTTCAATCGCCTCGGCTCAAATCTCTCCGCGTTCGAGTTGTAATTTAATTTTTTGTTTTAGTTCTTTTGTACGAACTGAACACTTCAGTCAGTTCATAGGTTCCCGTTGTAATTTAAACACACCTTGTGTAACAATCGCAAGACAAATATCGACACCTACTGAACTGATGGCATCCACTGGAGAAGGATCAAAAACTCAACCACCGGTCACCCCCGTTGTTCATCATCCCCAACCTGCTGTTCATGTTCCCACTGCTGAGAGGCCCGAAAAATTTAACGGGCTTGATTTCAAGAGGTGGCAACAGAAGATGCACTTCTACCAGACCACATTGGATTTGGTGAAGTACCTGAAAGACGACCCTCCTGTCGTGGCTGAAAATGAATCGAATGCTGAGCTGCGAGCTGCATACGATGCTTGGGGGCAAGGTGATTACCTTTGCCGGAACTATGTCCTTAACGGACTGAGTAACGAGTTGTACAATGTGTATAGCTCGGTTGGATCTGCCAAGGAGCTTTGGGCTGCCTTGGAGAAGAAATACACAACTGAGGATGCTGGGGCGAAGAAATTCGTCTTCGGCAAATTTCTGGAGTTCAAGATGGTCGACACTAAGACCGTCGTGTCTCAATTGCAAGAGTTCCAACTCATCTTGCACGACATTCATGCTGAAGGAATGTCTCTGAGCGAGTCATTCCAAGTTGCGGCTGTGATCGAGAAACTGCCGCCGGGTTGGAAAGACTTCAAGAACTACCTCAAGCACAAGAGGAAGGAGATGAGTCTTGAAGATCTGGTTGTTCGTCTTCGGATTGAAGAGGACAATCGGAAGTCTTCGGGGAAGGCCCCGACGATGGAAGCTCGTGCCAACTTGTTGGAGCAAGGCAACTCGAGCAAAAGGAAGCCCC